ACGTACTTTTTCCCTTGTACCAAATCCCTCACCCCTTAGAAGATGCCCAGAGATTGCTCCTGCCCCAGTAAACAGCTCCTGCAGGGCTTCTTCCAGGATGGAGATGTGTGCAGAGGCAGAGACGTTGCTGAGAGGGCGTGGGCTCTGGTGTCAGATGGGCTCAGGGAGGTTAGGTTGGGGAGGGAGGGCAGGGACGAGAGCGTGCAAGACTTCTAGGCCCTGTAGACACTTTGTGATGTCCCTGGATGGCACAAACATTTAAGCACTCAGCTACTAACTGAAAGGTTGGCAGTTTGAACCCACCCGGGGGCTCCTTAGAAGAAAGCCTGGTGATCTGCTTCTAAAAGATCACACAGCTGTGAAAAACCCTATGGAGCACAGTTCTGCTCTGCAACACATGGGGTCACCATAAGTTGGAGATGACTCAACAGCACCTGGTCGGGGTAGTCACTTTGGGTTTGATTCTGTGAGCAGTAGAAAGATATTGGAAGGTTTTCAGCAGCAATATGACATGATCTGATTTATATGCATCATTCAGGGTAGACTATGAGCAGACGGGGTGAACTTCAGCAGGTGGGCACAGAAGACCAGGAGAGGTGGTGGCAGCCGTGGCTGCGTTTGGAAACGTCATTCCTAAAGAGATGTTCAGGAGAGAGTAGTTCAGGCCTGTACGTGGCCCTCGTGGGAGCTGGGGAGCAGTGTAGGGGGCTATATAGGAGCTTTGGAGAGCTGGAGGGAGCTTGTGACCTTGCCGCCTGTCAACAGCTTCCAAGAGAGTGAGACAGTGAGTTCTCATCTTAATCCAGGCTCCCCAGGGACTCTGATATTTACTCTGGGTGATGCAGACAGTTAATGTGCTCAGCTGCTAGAGAAAGGTCAAAGATTCCAGTCCACCCAGACGCACCACAGAAGAAAGTCCTGGTACCTACTTGCGAAAAATCAGCCATTGAGAACCCTGCGGAGCACAGTTCTACTCTGACACACATGGGGTTGCCGTGAGTTGAACTCAACTCAGTGGCAGCTGGTTACTAAGTGCTAAGCACTGTCCTTGTATCATCTTACCCTGAAATAATGCTATGAGCAGGGTGCCATTATTTTCCCAGATGAAGAAGCTCAGGCTTAGCATGAGTTAAGAACTTAACCCGAGCTTGCCCAGCTGGGATTTCAACACTGGCAATCCTTCTCCTCTCTGGCTTCCTTTCAATCCACTTTCCACCCTGGAGCCACACTGATCTTTTTTCCCGCTGTGATCTTTTATGAATGTGCACTCGGGGCTGTCACTGCCTGGCCAGTGCAAGATGCTGATAGGAGGCAAGGTGGCTTAAGGTTGGCGGCACCTGCCCCCACGATCACAAACTGTTCCAACTCAGAGTCAGAAGCCAAGATTTCCCAAGCGGTACAGCCAGCCTCAACAGCTAGGTGGTTGGCAGTTATCAGCCATCAGACATCGGAGCCTGTGCTCTCAGCCACTCGCTCTTCTGCCGCAGCTTTCCTAGGTCAGGAGGGTTGAGGGGGATGGGTTTCAAAGAGGCTGGAAACAGGTGGCAGCCACTGTAAGGACCTAAGTGTTGGAAAGCCCATGGCCAAGGGCTGGGGCACCAGGAGAGAGAAGGGAGTGGGGCCGCCAGGACTGCTGATCCCGTCCTCCCTCTTGGGCTGGGATCCCTTCTGGGGTCTGTGTTTCTCCCCAGACCCCATTCTCCCTGGCTCCAGCCAACCCATGTCACCTAAACTTTCGTGCTTCTGTGTCTTTTCTAGGCAGATAAGAAGGACCCCCAAGGCAATGGCACCGTGGCTGGGTTTGAGCTGCTGCTTCAGAAACAATTGAAGGGCAAACAGATGCAGAAGGAAATGTCAGAATTCATCCGGGAAAGGTGAGGCCTGGGACCCCTTCCAGCTCTGGGGACTGGTGACCGTGCCCACTGTGGCCCCGTTGCTGGACGGGGAGTGAGCAGCGGCACGGCCAGTGCTGGGGATGTGGGAAGGAGCACAGCGCGCCCAGCACTGGGTGTGGTCGGCGCTAAGGGGAGCACAAGACTGGAGTCACAGACTCGTGGCCCCAGGACAGATATACCAGCATATGTGCTGTCTTGACCTGTGGAGTGATTTTGAAGATTTGCATCAGCATTTAAATGTGGACATCTAGCATCCCTTGAGAAAGCAGAAGGTCTGGCAACAGTCTCTCTGCGTCCCTTATGGAGCAGTTGGCTGGAGCTGAGGAGCAGCTGCCCCTTAGAGAGGCAGTGTGTGTTTCCAGTTTGCCCTACTGTCCCCCACAGGGACCGCTTTGCTCTTTTACTTACCTTCCTGGTGTTCATCTGAAGCACCTGATCATAGCAGAAAAGAGTGTTAACTTTCAAGTCAACTTTGAACCAAAGTTACGTCCCAGACCTGGGGATACAGAAACCCCCAAAACACACACACACAGCCATCTCTGCCTCCAGGGAGCTCAGTCTCATGGGGGAATCAGACAAGTAAATTGTGATGAGCACAGGAATGATGACAGTGGTTTGTCCGAAGACTTGGGAACATAGATGAGGAAGCAATGAATTTAGCCTGGTGGAGTCAGGGAAAGCTACATAAAGCAGGAGTTTTATCAGATGGCATCCTTCTCCATCTCCCTCCTCCCCTCCCTCCCGCTTTCTGAGTTCTGAGACTGTTAAGTACACGGCATGCACACACCCCACACATGTACCCCACACAGTGTGGGCACGTCCTCCTCACACACGTGTGCACGCACCCCGCACACGCACCCCACACAGTGTAGGCACATCCTCCTCACACACGTGTGCACGCACCCACACATGCACCCCACACGGTGTATGCACATCCTCCTCACACACGTGCACACACACCCCGCACACGCACCCACACAGTGTAGGCACATCCTCCTCACACATGTGTGCACACATTCACACATGCACCCCATTCGGTGTATGCCCATACTCACACGTGCACACACCCCACATGCACCTCACACGGTGTATGCACATCCTCCCCACACACATGCGCACACACACCCACACATGCAACCCACACAGTATATGCACATCCTCCCCACACATGTGTACGCACACCCACACCCCACACAGTGTATGCACATCCTCCACACACACGTGTGTACACACACCCCACATGCACTCCACACGTGTATGCACATCCTCACGTGTGCACACACCCCACGTACACCCCACACAGTGTATGCACATCCTCCTTACACACATGGGTGCACGCACCCCACACCTACACATACATGTATACACACATGTACACACTGCCCTTCACATGCACTAGGACACACATGCGCACACCCTACATATGTGTACACATGCACACACACACACCTTTCCATCTGAAATTCACAGGGCATACTGGAAATATTTATGGCACATAGTAATACCTTTTTAAAATATTTCTTTTTTTTTATTATAACAGTAACAACCCAAGTAATAATGTTTCAGCACTTTAAGGCACCCCTTTTCCTTAGGAAGGCCTCTTTTTTATTTGTATAATCAAATCTTTATTTTATGACCCCTTAAACTGGTAGGAAATTGAGAGGTTGCGCAGCTCAGGTAGGAGAAAACAATAGTAGAATGTTGGGAAATAGGAAAACGGCTGTAAAAAGAGTTTGAACAGGCTTCTGGTCCATACTTTCAAACAAGTGCTGTGCTATGAAATGAATAGAATCTGCCGTTTCGGAAAGCTTTGGTCTTCCTTAAGAAAATGCAGACCCTTTAACTTTTCACATTCCAACTTGGAATCTGGAGGGAGGGCCTTTCCTCCCCAGCTGAGTGGGACTCTAAGGGACTGGTGACTGGTTTGCTCTGGCCTCAGCATAGAGAAGTGGGGGTGGAGTGGTGAGGAGGTGATGCGGACAGGGAATTCTGGAGGCAGGCAGACACCTCGTATGCTGGACATAGGCATTGGCCTCTGTGATGCTGGCATTGAGAAGCATTTGAGGGATTTTAAGGCAGGCATGTGACATGGTTAGAGCTGTGTTCTAGAGAGGTCTCTTGGCCACAGTGAGGAGGGAAGGGAGGCTGCAGGCTGGCAGTTGTAACCCTGAGGAGGGAGGGCACGGGAAAGCAGAGGGAACCCAGAGGAAGGGCAAAGGCAGGAGATAAATGGCAGATAGGCTTGAGAGGTCCTTGTGACCAACCTGGAGGCTGAGGGCAGAGCAGTAGAGAGGGAGCCAGAGTCTTTCGTGAACCTACAGTGTCAGATCACTCCATAATTATTCCCCCCAATGCTGCCAGAGTCCTTTGTCAGGTGCTGCATCTGTATCTGACACATCCTCACACACACACCCCAACCCCCCGCCTAGGCTCTGGCTGCCTGAGCACCCGGGGTCTGGGGCAGATGCTGCCGCCCCCAGAGCTTCTCTGGTGCTTTCGCTGCCACAGAGGATGGACCAGGCTCTCTGAGGCCCGCCCCCTGGCCAGCCCAGGGTCTCACGAGCACCGTTGCCCAGGAGACCGGATAGGCAGCGGGGAGTTCCTCTGACCACACGTTAACACGTGTGCCAGCTAATACAGAACATCCCCGAGAGTTGTCTTGAAAGTGTGTCAAGGGCCTGCCAGCTGGAGGCTAAATCTAAGGCAAGTTGCCTCCCCAGGGCAATGGAGGGAGCTGCAGCTGTGGGCACTGCCTGGTTTCCATGGAGATCCATGTGCCCTGCGGGCTCGTCAGTTAGAGGCGTTGGAAGTGAGAGAGCTTTGGGAGATGTTCCCCTGACTGCAGAGGGGCCGCGGCATCTCTGAGGGTCTAAGCCCAGAGGTCTGAGTTTGGAAGGCAGTGGGGACGGCACTGGGGCATCTCTCATGGATCATCACGGGTTGTGTGTATTCACTTAAGGGTGTCCCATGTGTCCAGCCCTGTCCTGGGTGCTGTGCAAATGACAGTTTTTCAGTCCCAGCCACCAAAAAGCCAGTTGCCATCAAGTCAACTCCAACTCATGGCAACCCCATGTGTGTCAGAGTAGAAATGTGCTCTGTAGAGTTGTTAGTGACTAGTTCTTTCAGAAGCAGATCACCAGGCCTTCCTTCCGAGGCACCTCTGGGTGGACTCCAACCTCCAACCTTTTGGTTAGCATCTGAGCATGTTAACCATGGAAATGTCCCATTTTGCAGATGAGGAGATAGAGGTTCAGATAGTTTTATTCATTTGCTTATTCAAAAAACCACCAACTGTGTGTCAGGTGGACAGACAAGACCCATGCATTCACAGACCTTACAGTTTAGCTGATTGGTTACACAGTGAGTAAGTGACAGGACTATAGTTCCAACCCATGATCCAGCCTCAGGGAGCTTACGTGTTGGGTTTTCTCCCCTTGCAGGATAAAGATTGAAGAAGAATATGCAAAGAACTTAGCTAAGCTCTCTCAGAACTCCTTGGCGGCCCAGGAGGAAGGGTGAGTTGGGAGGAGAGTGAGGGGAGCGGGGAGGATGAGAGGACACTTAGGAAGGGGGATCCCTTTTCATTTCATGTCTGCTTCACTGGTCACTGACAGGGGCCCACCTTGAATGGGAAAGTGCCCCTAGGCCTGGCTCAGGGGGGCATCCATGGCTTAGGGCGGGCACCCAGGGCTCAGGGTGAGTGTCTCCACTGTGTCTTCTCTCTAGTGACCAAAGACCTTCTGCCAGATGCCAGAATATGTCAGAACCCTCTCTGCCCTGTCCCCTGGTAGCTGGGCACCAGCCCCCAGATGTCCACCCCAGCTATCCCTTCTCTGAGGCCAGGCTGGTAGGAAACTGGGTGTGAGAAGGTCCAGTATCCAGCCTGGTTTAGAACTCTCTCTGTGGGCCAGACCCCCAACATCCCTCCTCCAGCTCTGATAGTCCAGACCTCATTGGATGGACCTGGGCAGGGGGAGGCTCCGCCCAACCCTCGCAGCCACGGAGCGATTCCTAGTGGGAGAAAGTCTTCAGCCTTCTTTGCTCCTTCTGTTCAAAAAGAATCTCAGAAGTTAACGTTGAAACGGTGCCCAGAGGTCCTCTCTGTGTCCCTACCCCCTCAGGTGCCATCTCTGAATTCCCCCTGCAATGGGGAATGGACTCCCCAGGAAGGAAGACATTCTCTTGGGGTGTGGGGTGGTTCTCAGAGAGCTGTTATGTTATGCCAAAAACCTTCAGGGACAGAGGTTTTGCCAGCCAAATCTGGCTTTGATTAAATCCTCTGCCTGGGCTGGCCATGCAGCAGCAGCCTGCACCAAATGGTTTCCACCAACCCAGCCGACCACGGGTCAGCCCAGTGGGGCCAGTGTCTCTTCCACGGGTGTAAATGGGGTTAGCTCCCAGCCCTCTTCTGCTCAGCGCACAAGCCTGAGATGAGGGCAGGAGGGGCGTCCACAGGGCAGTCGCCCTTTCTGCCTGGGAAGGGGGCTTCCCTGATTACCTCCATGCCCTGCATCATTACTGTGTGGCTCTGGAGTCTTCCAGCTTCCACCTCCTCGGCCTGGGCTGCTTCCAAGGACACTCCATGCAGGCAGCGTGCACAGCATATGCTCCCAACCCAAGAAGCCCAGCTCCACAAAGCAGGCCTGCACCCCCTGCCATCCACACATGTGCATACAGACAGGAATAAGCACTCACCTATGCAGCACTGTATCAGTGGTTCTCATCTACAACCTACATGTGTGCCATGCTCTGTGGCCACCGCATGTACACACTAACCCTATGCACACACTTACCCACATGCAGGCTGTGGGGGAACATGTGCCCCCCTCCACACACACACACAAACGTGCAGCTTAGCTATTTTTCATTTACATCCAGTTTGGGGCATTTAACGCACCCCAGCTTGCAACTTTCAAAGTGTTAAGACTGAAGCCTAGAGATTTGGGGCAGCCTAGGAAGATGCCGCAGGTGGAGACACGAGCTGCTTTTGTAATTTGAGAGCTGTGTCCAAATTCGATTTCCCAGGACATGTGCTTATGGGTAAATGAACAGAATTAGATTATGTCTTCTGCATTCAGTTTTTCCCTCCTGTGGGGAAAGGAAAAGGATTTTGGTCTTTCCTGGCCGGCAGTTGTGACAGTAACGTGCATTTTGATTGAGCATGCCTCAGACTGTAGATTGGAACAGAAGTGTATCACAAGTTGGTTTTTTTTTTCCATTCATCTCTTTAACTGATGTAAAATCTTTCTTCAAGTGAGAGGATTTTCTGCTTTTTTCTAAATTATGAAGTAGCTCCTTGTCCCCTAGAATAGTGAGGGGGGAAGTAGAAGGGAGAGGCATGGGAGATGTATTGATGTCTGTTAGTTGTTAAGCGCTGTCTAATCAGTTGTGACTCCTAGCGACCCTGTGTACAGCAGAACACTATGGACAGCAGAACACTGCCCAGTCCTGCACCATCCTCACAGTCGTTATGTCTGAGCTCATTGTTGTAGCCTCTGTGTCAGTCCATCTCATTGAGGGTTTTCCTCTTTTTCGCTGACCCTCTGATTTACCAAGCATGAGGTCCTTCTCCAGGGACTGGTGCCTCCTGATAACATGTCCAAAGTACATCAGACGAAGTGTCCCCATCCTCACTTCTAAGGGGCATTCTGGCTGTACTTCTTCCAAGACAGATTCGTTCATTCTTCTGGCACTTCATGGTATATTCAGTATTCTTCACCAACACCATCATTCAAAGGCATCAATTCTTCTTTGGTCTTACTTATTCATTGTCCAGTTTTCACATGCATATGAGGGGATTAAAAATACCATGGCTTGGGTCAGGCATACCTTAGTCCTCAAGGTGATGTCTTTCTTTTTTAACACTGTAAAGAGGTCTTTTGCAGCAGATTTGCCCAATGCAATATGTCATTTGATTTCTTGACTGCTGCTTCCATGAGCTAGATTGTGGATCCAAGTAAAATGAAATCCTTGTCAGCTTCATTCTTTTCTGTTTACCGTGATTTTGCTTATTGGTCCAGTTGTGAGGATTTTGTTTTCTTTATGTTGAGGTGTAATCCTTACTGAAGGCTGTGGTCTTTGATCTTCATCAGTAAGTGCTTCACGTCCTCTTCACTTTCAGCAAGCAATTTTGCAGGTTGCATTTTGCAGGTTGTTAATGAGTCTGCATTTTGCAGGTTGTTAATGAGTCTTCCTCCAATCCTGATGCCCTGTTCTTCTTCATATAGTCCAGCTTCTCGGATTATTTACTCAGCATACAGATTGAATAAGTGTGATGAAAGGATACAACCCTGACGCACACCTTTCCTGATTTTAAACCATGATGCCTGCGGGCCCATCTGCATATTTCAGATAGGCCCATCTGAATATATGTATTTTTTAAATTGTTATAATAAAATTATATGTAACAAAGCATTTGCCAATTCAGCATTTTTCTAGATGTGCAATTCAGTGATGTTGGTTACATTCATCTTGTTGTGCAACCATCACCGCTATTTATGTTGAAATTATCCCACCACCATTCACAGAAACTCAGTGCCCCCTGAGCAGTGACTCCCCATTTCCCCTGCCACCCACCTCTGGTAACCACGAATAAATTTTAGTCTCTATACCTTTGCCTGTTCCATATAAATGGGCTCATACAATATTCGTCCTTTTGTAACTGACTTATTTCGCTCAGCATGATGCTTTCAGGGTTCATTCGTGTTGTGACATATATCAGGACTTCATTTCTCTCTGTGGCAGAGCAGTATTCCATTGTACATATGTACCACAGTTTACTTATCCATTCATCTGTTGATGGGCATTTAAGTCATTTCTATCTTTTGGCTATTGTGACTAGTGCTACAATGAACATCGGTGTACACGAGTATCTTTTCGAATACACTTTATTGTTTAGGGTGGTTTCAGTGCACAGAAAAACAGCAGACAATACAGAGTCCCATATGCTGTCTCCCCCTGCAAACAGTTTCCCGTTATTAACATCTGCATTCCTGCGGTACATTGTTAACCACCAAGGAACTAAAATTGATACATTATTAAACTAAAGTCCATAATTTACATTAGGCTTCCCTCTGTGTTGTACAGTCCTGTGGGTTTTGGCAAATGTTTCATGTCGTGTTCACTGTTACAGTATCATGCAGAATAATTTCACTGCCCTAAAAATGCCAGGTGCTTCACCTGTTCATCCCTCTTACTTCCCTGAGCCCCTGGCAACGGATCATTTTACTGTCTATAGTTTTGCCTTTTTCAGAATGTCCTGTAGTTGGAAGCATACAGTATGCAGCCCTTTCAGACAGGGACCTGAGTGTCTGGATTGATGTCTCCATCTGTGAGTGCCTAGCTTGGAGGTGGGGCCGAGGACATTGCCTTGAGCATATATTTGTGCTTCCTCATCCTCCCAGTGGTCCTCAGATGACATCCTCAGGCTGTGGCTGCTGTCACTGGGTCAGTCACTCACCTTGAGCACCGCTGAAAGACATGTGTGCTCACACAAACTCTTGGCACCGTCTGGAACTTTTTTGGCTTCCGAGGCTCTTGTGTGTACCTCCCTCCACTGCTGGACATAGCTCAGCTGCAGGGGCAAAGCCTTGTCACCACCGTTTAATCAAGTACCCACCTGTCCTCTGCTTCTGGGAGTGCTGCCTTTTACTCTAGATCTTGGTCCATTTTGAGGTCATCGGTGTATATAACAGGAGGTAAGGGTCAAGGTTCATTTTGTCCCACGTGGATGTACAGTTGCCCAGCACCGTTTGTTAAAAGATCATCCATTCCCCATTGAAACATGTTGGCATCTTGGTTGCACCTCAGTTGACCATCTATGTGTGAGTCAGTTTCTGGACTGTGTATTCTGTTCCATGAATCTATAGGATGACCGGACTGCTTCTGCACCCTTCTTCCCCTCACCCTGCACCACCTACCCACCTGCTCAATAAGGAAGGAGGCTAGGCCCACCCAGAGGATGCAGACTCCCTAGCAGGCCTTCCTGGAGCTCAGGCCCCTCCAGCTAAAACCAATTCCAGCAACTGGGTCGCCCGCTTCTCATGCCAGCTGGGCTCCCCAGTCAGGGTCACCCCGGGGAACCTTTCTTTGCTGCTGGACTCCTGATAAAATCAGTCAGTCATTTCCACATAGACACTCACAGCAGCCTGAGCCCAAACCACAGACAGTGGGGCCTGGATTTTATCAAAGGGATCGGTTCCACTCAGTAATTCTTAGCTGTGGCTGCTTTGCTCAAAACCCAGAAGCCTTACAGCGTGCTGTCTTTTAATCAGCCTTTGCCACTCAAGCTTAATGAATTCTCGGAGGGAAGTGGCTGCTTGATGAAACTAAGTCAACTGAACATTCAGCCTGGATTACTGGCTGCATTTAAGAGGTCTTGAAGGAAGTAGGGGTATCATTTGGAAGGTCAGCGAAGTAAAAGAGTTTCAAATAATGAAGAAACTAGCATGAAGGCCTGCATTTCAGAGTCTTGGAGACTTTAGGTATTCTTTCTACTTGAAACGTCTCCTTAGAGTGGAAAAATGATTTAGATTAGAGAACTTGCCCATTCTCCAGTAAGCTGTGGGCTGTGTTAAGGGCTTATAACCCACTGCGACTAATGGGACTACAGAGAAGCTCCTGATGAGGGCGCTGGAGAGTCTGCACTCCAGAGAGAAGCAGTTCTAGACCCAGACTGGTCCATCCTTGCCTCTCCTGGAAGCCAAGTGCCTGGGGATTACCTGTAAGCAGGGCTGCGTGGCACCTTCCGTCTGTTCTCTTTCCTGGATTTATCAGTGGGCATTTGCACGCCTCATCAACAAACAGGGAGGGCTGGTGAAAAGCAGTAGAGATGGCAATGTGTGCTGGTACCAAGGCCCTCCCCGCAGCTGAGACTGTGTAACCGCGCCCACCTTCCTCTCACATCTCCACGGTTCTTATGAGCCTCTTGGTTCGGGTATTTCTGCAGCCGTTCGACTGTCCGATATCTGTTCCCTTAGCTCCCTTGTCTTTGAAGGGTTCATCTGGTCCTGTGAGCGGAAGTGTGGTGTTCATGTTGTTCTGTGCCTCATCCAAGTCCAGGGTCTTAGGTATTACATGCCTCCCTGAGACATGGGGCTGAGACATGGGGCTGAGACATACGTCCCACCTCAGGAGAGCCTTCGGTCTCTGACCTGAGATTGATGCAGCTCTCACTCTCCCTGTGGCCCTGAGTCTGACAGTCTCCTTTGTGTTGCAGCTCCCTGGGAGAAGCGTGGTCCCAGCTGAAGAAGAGCCTTGCAGATGAGGCTGAAGTTCACCTCAAGTTCTCTGCCAAGGTAACCCCTCCCTGCAGCCTTTCAGGGGTGGCCGCATATGATGGTGTGCTGGTAAACGTCTAACAACCGTCTCTCCAGTTTGTAGTGTATGCCAATTTCTCTGGTGTAAATTTCAAGCTACCAACATGAGCTTACCAAATGTAGAGTTGAAAAGAGATGTGTAGTAGATGTAAATAACCTCAAGAGCAGAGATAATAGTAAAATGCAGTTAAGAAATGATGAGTTGTGAGTATTCATTCCCTTTGTGTTTAATACAGTGTATTTAATTGTAAGTTTAGATACACTGATTTTTAATAATAGCTGTGTTTAACACCCAGCTCTGAAAATGTAACCTTCAGCTTTTATAAGCTGGTGTGAGCCAGCCCCAGTACACCTGTGCACACCTCTGTCTGGATATCCCCCCCTTCCTCAGGTGAGCCCCTGAATGATGAAACCCTAGTGTCTCTTTGCTAGTCTTTCAAAGGAACGTGTTAGCATTTTCTTCCTTTTCTTGATGTCAGGAGATATTAGACTCTGCCAAAGGGAGAATTTGTGTGTTTGTTGTTGCCATTGCAGAATTTCAGAATACATGAATGACGCTTATTTCATTTGGTTCCAAAGACGCTAGCACCAGGCTTATCTTAAGAACAGGGGTGTTTTTGTCCTGTTCACTCTGTCCTCAGTACTCAGAATGTTGCCTGGTACATAACAGATGCTTAACAAATATTTTATGAGTTAATGAATACAGGGAAGGCTCTAATTACCCCCCCCGCCTCGGTTTTTTAAGTGAAAAATAAACTGTCAAAGTGAAATAATTCACACTAAGCTGTGAACGATTGATGGGGGCTATCCACTAGCCTTTTAAAAGGGGGAGACCCTTGAGAGTGAGACCATCCCAGTGACCTTTGCCTACTGGGATCCCCTCACCAGCCACATACAGCAGCCAGAAAGGGCATTCCGGTAAAGTGCTTAAATTCTCTGAGCACCCCCATACTTAAACTGGGGAGCACACTACCCCCAAAGATGGTTGCTCCTTGCTAGGGCTTCCACATTAGTACACACTGGTCATCTTGCCTTTCTAGCACTTTTCCCACCACATTGCAGCCCCCTGCTTTGGAGTCCCCATGTGCTGTGAGCCCTTTGAGGACAGGAGTCGCTGTCCACATCTCCCCACACCCATGGTGGCGCTCTGCACACAGAGTGGGCAGAATGAATGACTCAAACTGCCGAGGCATGCGAAAGAGGTCAATAAGTGGGAAAGAGCTGGCAGGAGGAAGAGACAATGCTATTACCAGCCCCTGCTTCTAAACAATGTCAGCACCCCAAGGTCGAGCTGACACTCAGATGCGAGTGAGAATTCCCGGGCTAACAGCACACTAGTGACACTGACCACTTCGCAGGAAAATTGCCACTCATGCCCTGAGCGAGAAGGGAGCTCCATGGACTGGTCTCTTTGCATACAAAGCAGCAAGTTATGTTTAAGCTGTGGATCATGGGTAGTCTTTCCCCTGGGTCTCCCTTCTCCTGTCCCAGCCCCCAACGGCTCTGTTTTGCACAGTGGGAGAAACCTCTGTTGACTACAGAGCCCAGTGGGAAGGCGGGGGCTGGGAGCCAGATCTGCAAGGCTCTGAAATGTCACCTGCTGGATCCACAGGAATCCTAGTGGGATTTACTCACCATCAGCAGGACCCCTCATTCTTTTTCTTTTTTAATCGACTGTTTTTTAGAGCAGTTTAGGTTTACAGAAAAATTGTGCGTCAAGCACAGAGAGCTCCTTAGGCCCCATCTACTCCACACAGTGTCCCTTGCTGCTGACATCTTGCATTGCTGTGTACAGCTGTTATAACTGGTGAACCAAGATTGATACATTGTTATCAACTAAAGTCTACAGTTTACATGGGGGTTCACTCTGTGTTGTACTCTGTGGATGTCGTACAGGTTTTTACAAACGCATGTCATATCTCCACCATGACAGTATCATTCAGGATAGTTTTACTGCCCTAAAAATGCCCTGTGCTCCAGCTGTGACCCCTGATTCTTGATTGCTTGTAGAGTACTCAACAGGTGACTGGGACATTCTCAGAGTTGAGAGTGGTGATGTAAGTATCCTAGATGATTACGTACACGATAGGACTCATCTCACTCAAGTTTATCAGCCTCCATGCAAGATGATGTTGTTGTTAGCTGCTGTGAAGTTGGCCCTCAATTCCTGGCGGCCCCATACTCAATGGAACCAAATGCTGCCCAGTCCTGTGCCATCTCCATGATTTGTTGTGGATCGGACCACTGTGATCCATAGAGTTTTCACTGGCTGATTTTTGGAAATAGATCACCAGGCCTTTCTTCCTAGTCCATCTCAGTCTGGAAGCTCACTGAAACCTGTTCAGCATCATTAGCAACACACAAACCTCCACTGATGGATGGTGGCTGCACATGAGGTGCCTTGGCTGGGAATAGAACCTGGCTGTCCTGCGTGTTGCTTTTGTCGTTAGGTACCATCAGATCCGTTCCGACTCACAGTGACTCTGTGTACAACAGAATGAAACACTGCCAGGTCCTACTCCATCCTCACAGTTGTTGCTATGTTTGGGCCCATTGTTACAGCCACTGTGTGACTCCATCTTGTTGAGGGTCTTCCTCTTTTTCACTGACCCTCTGCTTGGAGGAAGTGCAGCCAGAATGCTCCTTAGAAGGGAAGATGGTGAGACTTGGTCTGACATACCTTGAACATGTTATCAGGAGGGACCAGTCCTTGGCAAAGTAGAGGGTCTCCTGCATGGGAGGCAAGAATTCTACCACTGAACCACCACTGCCCCCGCCCCCAATCATGCAAGATAGACATCTCCACTTCACAGACGAGAAGGGGGCAGAGAGATTGACTCACAGCCCACGGACATGTGGCTCAGTGGACTGCTCAGCTATTGAGGCAGCAGAGGAAGAGACTGACCAATGGGAGGCTGGATCCCCAGGCCTTTTCTTCAGACAGTGCTCTCTCTTTGGGCTGACCACTGGCACTTAAAACACAGAACCCTGCTCTTGAGAAACAGTCTTCCCTCTCTTGAGGGGGCTGTCCCCAGAGTGGTATAGGCTGGTCCTCCAAGTACTCAGGAGGCTTGAAATCAAGTATTCCTGAGCCAGGGCAGACCTCATCATTATCTAATGAGAGGCTCATGAGGAATGTCCATGCAAACTAGATCTTTTCGTGAGAGCCCTACTGCCTCAAGCCTGCTCGGGGGGACTCTCAGTCAGCGCAGGGGGACTTGGGTGATCACAGTAGCAGCCCCAGTCTTAATGGCATCTTCTCGAGAAGAAAGGGGGCCCAAGGATTTATTTGCCCTGGATAATACGGCTCCCTGTGTGCAAAGCCCATTTTAATGTCTGCTCCAAAAGCTTATTGAAATTCTGCTCTGAATGTTCTGTGTCGGTGGTAAAAACTCTTTAAGACATGCAATTTTGTTAAGGCAATCTTTCAGACTTCTCTAGTCTGCTAGCTCCAGCCATTGTTCACAGCAACAGCCCGTTAAAGAAATAAGATTGCTATGTACTAGGGAACTTACCCTGGCTCCAACTGGAGAAGGGAGAAATCTAATCATGCAATAGAAGCCATGCAGTCAGCCGGAAGATTGAGAAGGGACAGTGGGAGTCAGGAAACATGAGTTTTCTCTCAGTGTTATCGCTAACAAGGAGTCCCCAGGTGGCACAAACAGTTAATGTGCTTGGCTGCTAACCGAAAGGTTGGAGGTTAAGTCTACTTAGAGGCACCTCGGAAGAAAGGCCTGTAGATCTGCTTCCAAAAATCAGCCATTGAAAACCCTATGGAGCACAGTTCTACTCTGACACTCATGGAGTCACCAGGAGTTGGATTCAACTCTACGGCAACTGATTTTTTCATCACTAACAAGCTTTGTGACCTTATGCTAGCCACTTAACATCTCTGGGCTTCACCTTCATCATGTGTGAAATGAAAAGTATGGACCAGATCAGCATCTTTCAAGCTTATTTGACCATGACCCACAGTAAGAAACACATTCACATGGCAACTCAGAACACACACATATATATACAGACAGATACCCACATACAGATTCACGCACATGAATAGCCAAAACAAATGTTTCGTGAAACAGTATTTATCCTTCTACCTAAAATGTACTTAGATATTTTCGATTCAAGGCTAGTCAGTTCTCATCAAAAAGCTGGTCCTGGCCCACTAAATTGATTGCACAACTCGCTATGTAAAAAACACTTCCCTCCAATTTGAAATGTCTTTTATTCTCTTCTTATGTGTGAGGTGAAGGAAAAAGGAGACTCAGAGTGCAGGAGTTCTGAAAAGGCAAGATGATCGGCTCCAGTGGCCTCGTGGCGGTGATGGCAGGTCCCCATCCATTAAAGGAGGAGCCCACTGGGGGCATTTTGACAACAGGCCAACCCAGTAGTTCACGAAGACAAACTGTCAGGAAGGACTTCTGATTCCTTGTTAAACAGAGACAGTTAAAAGTTAAAAATGAGTAAGAAAGACACCAAGTCAACTTTTTAAAATAAAAAGTCTTTTGAAAGTACTTAAAATGTAGAGATGGAGAATTCATGAATCTTCATCTATGGAATGGAATCACCTCTGACAGCTAGAAGCCTCATGTTTCCAGAATATCATTTGGGATTTTGGAAAAGCATTTTTGTCTATTGGCAGGTTCTAGAGTCCTTCCCTAGACCACAGAACCCAGGCCAGGGACCCTTAATTTTTGAAAAGCACCCCCCTCCCCATGTCATCGGGGACACATTAACATCTGGCAGTCACTTGCTTTCCAGGAAGTGACTCAGGAAGAAACCCAGAAGTTACTGAGTCAACAGGCTGAGATAATCCTCATACACTCCTGTCTTAGTTACTTAGTGCTGCCGAAACAGAAATACCACAAGTGGGTGGCTTTAAAGAACAGAAATTTATTCTCTCACGATTCAGGAGGCTAGAAGTCCTGATTCAGGGTGGGGCTTTAGAGGGAGGCCCTTCTTTATTTCAGCTTCTACCAGTTGTCGTCAAGTCAGTTGAACTCATGGCTACCCTGTGTGTGTCAGAGTAGAACTGTGCTCCATAGGGTTTTCAATAGCTCCGACTTTCCATCAACAGATCATTCCGAGGCACCTCTGGGTGGACTAAAACTGCCGTTTCACCTTCTATTAGCAGGCAGTTCTTGGAGTTCCTGGGTTTATAGACTCATCTGCCTCCCTCGTCAGCATCTTCTTCCCCCATGTGTTCAGGTCTTTTTATAACTCAGAAGTGATTAGGTTTGGGACTCATTGTACACTGCTGTGACCTCATGAACACAGCAAAAGAAAACCCTTATTTCTAACCAGGGT